CTCGTTCATTTTCTAATTCTATATCTGAACAATGCCGCACTTATTTAACGAGAAAAAACGGAAAGTTCTTCAGTGTGTCACTATCGAATCTTGCCAAAATGTTCCCCTTTTTTCAAATCTATCCTTTCCTAAAAGAAATACTCTTTTCCCAAGCCAAAATATATGACTATAAAATAAAACAATGAAAGAAAACGGTTAAATAAAAACCTTCTATTATGCAAATGAATAAATATAATTTATCAAATTCAAATTACATTAGAATTAGAATTACATTAATAAAGCACTGAATAATTTAATATATATAAACAAATAAGAAAATAACAAAAATCGACAACAACAACAACAATAACAACATTTACTCACTTCCTTGGCATACCTTAAAACTATATTTTTATTTTATATATATATATATATATATATATATATATATATATATATATATTCAGCAATTTTTTTAAAAATGTTGACAGGTATTTGAAAGGAATTTAAATAACTTTTTTACAGATTCTTCAGTCTCGCTAGTGACCTTCATATAGTCCACATATTGTGCAACAGCGAGGATCTCTGGGGCATAGCATCAGGCATATATGCTGATGATTTTCGCCGTTTTCCTTCATCACTGAGCTCGCAATACGACTGATTTCAAAATTTCTTATACAATTTGACACAATTATCTCCAATTATTTCTATTCAGGGCAACTCACCCGAAGTTAGTATGAGGCACATTGACAGCTGCAAGGTTACTCTTTCGCTTCTATTTATACCTGTCCACGGCCACCCAACTTTCTTCTGCCCACTTGCCAAGCTGGCTATATATAAGGACCTTAGTTATTCTGTCCTCATTCATCCTTGCAAAATGACCAGCCCAGCGAAATTGTGACTGCACCAGAAAGGCCTCAATTCCATCAATGTTGCATTTTTGGAGAAGATCAGCATTGGGACACCCTATCGTCAACAGTATAGCCACAGATCCTACGGAGACATCTTTAGTAAAGGACATCCAGCTGATTGATATGGGACATATATGGGGTCCACGAATCTGAGCCGTACAACAGTGTGGTCAAAATGACTGTTCTATAAGCCCGTATTTCAGTGTCCAATTTTATACCTCTCTCATTCCATAGGCAGTTACACCTAGCCAATATCACAAAGATAATGGGCTAATCCGTTTTGATCGCGTGAGAGACGCTACTTGGTTTCAGTGAGAAAAAGAAAGAAATAAAGAAGGAAAGATACAAGTGTTTAAGGTCTGCTTCAGTGAAATGAAAAGTTTCTAATTTCAAATCTTTCCATTTGTACTCCCTTACTTCTTAAAATAACGACCAGCATTCATATTCATGATTGTTATTGCAATATTTTGTTAAATTTGTTAAGTTCAAATAATTAAAAATATGATAGGGGAATTTCTACATATATTTTATTGTTATAGAATTAGCCATGAGCTTATTCAATTATTAACTTAAGAATTCATCGGAAATTTCAAATAGGATAACCGTGAAATTTTCACTGGTCATTTTAGTTATAAAATATTACGACAAAAACATTAAATTGAGTATTTTTGATACAATAATATTCTTATACATACACACACACAAAAATAATTGATTATATATATATATATATATATATATATGTTTGTATGAATATATATAAATAAAAAGAAAAAACAGTAAGATATATAATCCAGTGTTCATATAGATATCTTTATTTTTACAAAATAGTGCTCAATGTAAATTTACAGAGCATTAATATTATAAATTAATGGATTTAAAATATGTTTTTTTCGCTACACAGTTCTAACCATGTTTCAAAAACGGAAGCTAAAAGCTTCGAATTTAATTTTGTAATTAAATTAAACACATTAGTTCCATTTCATCCTCAAGCGAATTATGGAGTAACTTCTTTTTAAAATTATTGGGTTTTAAAGGCACTGCAAAAATTCATAATTCACGTTTCCAAGGATACAGAGAAATCCATTCATCCAGACAAGGGGTGGTTGCATGTTCATTATCACTGTATTTTGTTGTATCAGTTATTAGTTACTTCCCGAGCGATATATATATATATATATATATATATATATATATATATATATATATATATAACCAATAAGGATTACAAACCGAAATTTCCACCAGTTACATATACACAATCATCAAAAACAAGCAAATAACCAGCTTTAAAATAATAACAAATAAACCTTTTTTTTTAAATTAAAAATAAAAATAATAGTAATTTTTACCTATCATAATTTTACACAGACCCCACTACACGTATATACATACACGCGAGGAAATATTATTCAGTGAAAAAAAAGATAAATGCTCTGATTTTTGGCATGTATACATTCACGAGACATTCACGAGAAATTTTCGCTACACTTCCAATCTTTGAATTTCAACATACAAATGCGTATGTATAGACACAACACCACCCATATACATACATGTCCACATATGTTTATATATGTATGAGTCCCGACGGACGAGCAAGTGTGTATGTGTGTCTGCGTACCTCATCGGGTGTACGGACATGCATCTATGTTTGCGATGACATCACCACGACGATTCCCCACTCCCATGATAACACCTATACACGCAATCTACATAAACCCAACATTTTTAAAGAATTAATCAGTTTGTCTGACAATCGCAAAAGCGTGAAACCCAGGGTCACAAACTCACATCAATCCAACCAAATATATTAGCTCTATCTCTGATATTGAGCGCTTTCTAATAAGTACCGCGCATATAATATATAAATAATTATATATATATATATATATATATATATATATATATATATTTTTATTTATATTTCTATACACACTCCCCCCACCACATATATATATATATATATATATATATATATATATATATATATATATATATATATATATATATATCCCTCAGGAAGTCTGTTAAAGCAGGTCAGATCTAATGTAGTTTCGTATCTTGCCGGAGAGAGCATATTTTTCTTTAATAAGATTTCTCGAATATTCAAAGGTAGCCGAAAATAAATATAGTGTTTAATAAAAACGGATCGTCTACTCAAATATGAGTATCCATTAAAGTTTTAAAGTGATAATATATATATATGTGTGTGTGTGTGTGTGTGTGTGTGTGTGTGTGTGTGTGTGTGTGTGTGTGTGTGTGTGTGTGTGTGCAATAAGATAAAGTACAAATCGGAAACGTTTATCAATGTAACAGGATTCACTTTTATTAAAGCGTCATCAGAGAATGAGATACGGAGAAAAAGAAAGAATAAAGGTTTAATGAAAGTAAAACATGATTGATTAGATTGATAAACGTTTCTTATTTGTTCTTTATCTTAGCATTCTGTCGAATTCTTATCCACATTTGATCTGTATTTAATTCCACTTCATATGATGGACTCTGCCATCGATTTCAACGAATAAGAATTCGACAACCGCGTTCTGGTTTTACGTTTGTGTCGTATGTGACACTTCAGTCCCGCTAGTGAACTGCATACAAGTCCACATATTGTGCAACAGTGAGGATCTCGGGATATAGCAACAGGAATATTTGTTGACTCTTTTCGCAGTTGTCTTTCGAAATTTCTGATATCACTCTGGCACAGGCACACGGGTCCCCACGTTAAAAACTGACCTTGTGTCACAACCTAACTCAGTGGGGGGTGGGGTCTATTAAATCTCCACTTTGGCACAAATATATCCAGTTATTTCTGTCCAGGGCAATTCGTTCAAATTGGTTTGGTTTGGTTTGTTTTACGGCATATCAACTTCAATGGGTCATTTAATGCTGACAACTTTTTTTTTCTGGTAATATTTTTGTTTTGTCAAAAATCCATTTCAAAAATGTATAGCTGGTAATATTATTTTTCCAAAAACCTATAGCTGGTAATATTTTTTTTTTAAAAAAGTACAGCTGGCAACATTATTTTTCCAAAACGTATTATCAGAGGCCTTGCTGTTGGACTTAGTTTATCGTCATACCCAGGACGCGGATGTAGTTTATAGTCATACCCAGGACGAGATCTGGGCTTGAGGGTTAACTATTTTCCCATAGCTGGGACCCTAAGAGATACTACCACTCCGGGTCAGGATGGACCTGGGAACACCCCTCAATTAAGAAGTGGTTCCATGCTCCTCAACACCTCCTGATCAGAGGCCTTTCTGTTGGACGTAGTTCATCGTCTTACCTAGGACGCGGATACAGTTTATCTTCATACCCAGGACTGACTCGTTCAAAGTTAGTATGAAGCTTCTTGACACATGAGAGGTTGCTATTAAGCGTGTCTAGATAGATAGATAGATAGATAGATAGATAGATAGATAGTTTCTATTTTTATGCATTGTGTCTATGAATGTATACTTGTTCGTACGGATCGCAACATTTAAATGAAAAGTTTCATTCTACTGCATCAGCCATTTTATTTTCACCTGAATTTTAACCTGCTGCAAGGTACTGAAAACGACAATAAAGCTACAAAAATCAAGTTAACATTCTTAAAGAAAAAATGATGGTTAAAAAACATAGCACGTGCTTTCAGGCACTTTGTTTCGATAAACTCAAATAGACGCTCTCACAGACGAGATGATTTGGGAATTGAGTTTGGCTTCCAAATCAAATCAGCAAAAATGACTCCAATATAAAAAAACAGGCGGACGATTCTCTCGTGTTTGATTTTCTTTTTTTGGTTGTTTTTTTTTTTTTTAGAATTTTTCTTATTTTTGTTTCATTTTATACAACACAATAATGAACAGTAGACTTCTGTCTGTGATTTGAAAGAAAACTATTCACCTATAAGACAAAAGTAACGAATTATACCATCAACCTCAGCTCTCTACCGTCTCGAGATATCCCTTGGCGAGAAAAGCAAAGTCTGTTAGTTCTGATAAGCAGGGGCCTTTTATTCATGAATCAGTTTACTTGGTACTCTGTGACGGTAGGTAAGGGACAATTGGGACATTCTTGTTACTACTATTTCTTTTTGCTCACGACAAACTAACGAACCAGATCTCTTTGACCATCTCTCTGTGTCTTTCTCTCTCTCTCCTTCTCTCTCTCTCTCTCTCTCTCTCTCTCTCTCTCTCTCTCTCTCTCTCTGTCCCTGGAACTATACTAAATGAGCTAAAATGAAGCCTAAACATATAAGCCTAAAACTGGTATTCCCTACCTTGGGGCCGAGTGTCACTTGATCCCGAAAATTTACATCTACGAGTTGCTCAAAGCCCAGATGGTAGTAAAACAGATAACGTCATTTACAGTCCATGTGAATATAATACTGAGCAATTGGCCAGGAAACGATTTTGCCACATTAGGTCCTTACTAGCTACGCCATAATTTTCACCTATTATCATGTTTATATAATTCCTATGATTTTTTAAAACTCTTTTTTTCGCCAAGGAAGGGAATAATGCCACTAAGACGCAAGAGGTGTTAGTGTAAAAGAAAGTAAATGAGAAGACGAAGAAAGGATAATATAAAGAAACCGAATTCAGGAAGACAGAAGATGGCGATTGACGATGCATTTAATATGAGCAACAACGAAGTTTTAGAGAAAAATGTAAGCAAAAAGGACACTTATACTTAACATCAGGAAGAGACAGTATAATTTTCTAGGGCACATAATGAGGAAAGACGGTTTGAAAGATCTGATACTCACAGGGCAGACTGAAGGCCAGAGGGATAGAGAAAAACAATATATTTTATATATAGAAATCGATGTTAGTTACAGAGACCGAATTTCAGAAATTCGGTCTATGTAACTAATATTTATTACTAGTAATATACACTCCTTGTCAGGAGAGATATGATGATGAAAAATCCTGTTATATTTGTGTTTGTCCCTCCCTTCGTTAGTTCACAGGACCGTTACGCACCGTCAATAAATACTGGTCTATTCTGTTTTGACAATGGTTGAAACACAAGACATATCAGAGACGATACATGGTTTCAGTGAAAAAAAGAAATGGAAAAAGATAGAAAGAAAGAATAGTTTATTAGCTCCTGCTAACACCTCATAAATAACGAACTATTCAGCGGGAGAAGACAAGAAGCAACAAGACGCTACTTGGTTTCAATGAATGAAAGAAAAAGAAAGAAAGAAAGAAAGAAAGAACGAAAGGAAATGGAAAGGGCATATTCAGAGAAATGGAAAATGATCTCAATTTCAAATCTTTTCATTTGTACCCCTTATTTCTTAAAATAACGACCAGCATTCATATTCATGATTGTTATTGCAATATTTTGTTAAAGTTGTTAAGCTCAAATATGTAACGATACAATGAGGGAATTTCTTTGGATATTTTATTGGCGGAGAAATTGGCTTAAGCGTATTCATTCGTTAACGTAAGATTTAGGAAGATATTTCAAATAAGAAAACCGTGACATTTTCACAGGTTAAAACTGGTAAATATTATTCTTGTGAAATATTTTTTTTAAATTATTAGGCTGCTAAATTATTGATACAACTTTGTGCATAGTAATATAAAATTAATGCACCATCATTATTATTCGAATGTAGTCGGAATCATCAAGCAATTCGAACGATCACTTCCTTAGTTGTATTACTACAGAGTTACTTTCACCTAGACCGGTTGCCACTTAATGCTATAGAACCCAGTCTGCCCTGTTATTGACCTATACCTTGCGGCCGAAGAAGAGGATTCATACATTTCCCAAGCGTATTAGCACGTAAGTGAATGTTATGCTTCTGACTAGAATTCGAAATCGGCTCTCCGATTTCTCAATCCGAGGCGTTAACCATTAATCCTCCATGGGGACTACAAAAGTAAGTATACAGGAAGTTGATATTCTATTATTGATATGTTTGTATAATCATTACTGTTATGGGATCTTACCCATAATAATAATAATGGACTATTCCATACTTAATAAATACTGCGCCTCAGGAGAAGGCAAGGAGTCAATAGTTCAAGAGTCGAGTCAGAGGCAGTCCGAAACAGAGTCGCATTCAGACAATTACTGCAAGACATTGGAATAGTGATACTGGTCGAGACTACGTTGTTCTCTCTACTAAAACTGATTGTTCATACTAACACTTCTACTTCTCTGTATATATTCCTGTTTGTAATATATCTGTGTTATTCCATACCTGTGTTCGAGCTCTTCTTTATTGGTTCTACCCTGGACTCTCACCCGGGGTACAAGGAACCAGACCATGACAGTTACAATACGTTTTGTGCGAACGTTTTGTTTTTCATTACTACTTCACACCCGTCTATTGAGTCATCAAATTTGAATTTATTTTTCTCTTATTTTTCAGGTCTTTGATGCGTTCATTGTAATGGCGTCATTTGCACTTGATTTCGTATTCCTCGATAGTCAGTGGTATGAGACGGGTAAAGACGCCAGCACTATTCTGGTTTTGTTGCTCCCTTGGCGAGTTGTCCGAATTGTAAACAGTAAGTAACTCAACTTTGTTTGCTTTGTTTTGCTTTAGTATTTTCGTTGTCCGTCTATTTTTCTGTTCATTCATCCGTCCAATTATTCAATCAGTGCATTTTGCGCCTCTGTGGTCAGCACTCCCCTCCATCTCACAATTGTGCTTCATGGTGACATTCAAGGTAGAATAGTGCAGTGGCTTACAGGTTCCTTTTGCACCAGCGATGATAAGGTTACCCCATCCTTCCCCTCAGTAGTTAAAGAGACAAGACCTACAAGACAGTAGGTGGTTTGAATCCAGAGTTTAACTTCTCCAAGACTGGCGATGGTATAGTTGTGATTTTCTAAGGGTAGCTTAGATGTGGCACAAGACCGAAAATATGGGGCACCCAGTGAGGATCGAACTCATAAACTCATTCGAAATTGTTCTAGCGCGATAAGCTTGCTAACCATTACACCACATCGAGGTGCCCAGACTGGCGATAGTATATGGAGGCTGTACTTAGGAGTCGTTATGCTAGCACAAAGTCACAAGTCATCGTGACTGAGGGTTTGAACGTGCTAACCTTGTTCAAATTGTTGATCATGCTAGTGTTGAAACTTGACTAATGCATGGAATAATAATGCAACACAAAATGTACTTAGAACAAAATGTATTGAAACAAGAAAGGTACACAATATTTACATATAGTCTTTTGTATATTCTTGGGAAGACCGTTCCTGGAGAATGTGTTGACTTAGTCGCAGTCGGGCAGAGTCTCTGGATTGAATTTCTTGATTCCTCCCCTCGTCTTCCCGGTACCAACCATATTTATATGCAAATTAGGTGGATCCTACCACAACAGCTGGATAACGCGGTCTCTCCCAGAAACTGTAACAGAGTTGCTGTATAAACCACAGGTCGTCCTTGTGGATATTGAACAAACACAAATGTGCCTGAGCAGGCGTCTGCAATGTGAATTAGCGAGCCGCCCTAGTAAACTGGCATCCTCGGATTCGTGCTTCTGTCTTGGCATGATCCAAAGAAATACAGGGTATTATATTTGGGGACGACTTGGCTGTAGGGGTTGCCGGAAAGTTGTCAACATTTGCTGCCAACTGCCAACCGCCTTCGTCAATTCATAGAGGATCTAAATGTCGTTTTTCTTTTACTTGTATCTGTGCGTGTTGAAAATTTGCCTTCTTTTGCGTATATGAACTTTTGATACGTGAGATTAGGGTTACGTTAAAAGCGTATATGTGTATGCCTCAACAACTGTGGTAGCAGTAGCAACCGTAACAGGGCCGCTGGTAAATTGGGCTGAATTTCTGTAGTTATTTTCAACTATGTTGACAATAAATAAGGCAATACAATGAGATTTATATAGATACCAATCAGAGTCGAACATTGTCGAAATTGAATGATTGGTAAAGTACAAAATTTCTACCGAAGAGGGGTTATCTCAAATTAGTTATCGAAAATTTATAGAAAATAATAAGCTCCAAAAGGATCTAAAAGTTAAGAATTACTTCTAATTTTTCATTGGCTAAAAATATAATTTAATAGATACCACACAATGCTGGACAATGTCGAAATTGAGTAATTGGTAACGTCGGGAAAAGTACAGAAATGTTTACCGAAGAAGGGATATATCAAATTAGTTATCAAAATTTATAGAAAATAACAGGCTACAAAAGGACCTAAAAGTTACGAATTACTTCTAATTTGTCATTAGCTAAAATATATTTTGTTATTTTTTTTTTTTGTTATTTTTTACTCAAATATTTAAGAGGAAAAAGACGCTAAGATTTTTGCTGCAATTAAACTTTTAATTTTGCGAAAGGAATTCGCCTGTAATTGTTAGAAAGATAGGAACCAAATTTTGTAGAATAAAATTGTTGTAAAACAGAAAATGAAAAACTTCAGCAAATTCAAAAAATGTATTTATATTTAAAAATGTATCTAAACAAATTTGTAGAATAAGACTCGAAATATCGTCAATCCTTGGACGATCCAAATCTCTATCTAGAAAATGTAGGATGTGTGTGTGTGTTTGTGTAACGAATGCACAGCCGCAATTTTCGACGGATTTGCACCAATATTTTACATGCACATGCTCCAAATTAGCAGGAAGGCCAAGACCGGCCTTGCATTTCCCAACTCCCATCGATAGTGGAAATAATCGATTTTTTCATGCTTCTACGGCAGTTTTCATGTAGATTACGACCACTTTCTACTGGCCAGAGTGAGAGCCTATAGCGGGCTGTCACGAATAGGCAGGAAGATTCTATTGGCCAGTGTGAGAGCCAACTGCTGACTGACACGAATGTTAACTAGCATGCTATCATGCAAAAAAATCGATAGCTGCATTCGTCACAAGTGGGAAAAAATTTAAATCTGCATGGCACTTTACTCCAATTGGCTCGTTCGCTTGCTTAAACTCAACGTTGATTCTGATTCCGCCGAACTGGGTTGGGTGTGAAAAAGTATTTGTTGTTAACATTCTTTTTTCATTCGGTTTTTCCAGTTACGGGTCCTTTTTTTTAAAGCTGATCGTTTTGTGTTCAGTTTGTTTAGTTCTTTTTTCGTAACAGATTTAATGTTTAGTATAGAGCTTAGAAAAAATTCGCAGTAAGAAGTAAGGCATGTAGCAACATCAGCACGGCAAAGGGCACTCCTTTAAAGGCAAGGAAGGGCAAAAATATTTTAAGTCAAGTGATAGCGATTGCTGTATGAGTCGTACGATTTTTGAATCAAGCACGGGCAACGCCGGGCCATGCTGCTAGTATCAAATAGATTTCTAGTTATATCTGTATGTGTTGAGCAGGTGTCTGTAATAAGTCATGGCTAACCAAACTGACGAATGTATGCGCGCGGAGACAACTAGTAACCTACTATTCAATATATCTAAAGGAAGATGATGAAAAATAAGTATTTATTTAAAATAAATATATATTTCTATCACTGCTGTGTGTTTCTTTATCGTTGTTAGATTCGGAATTAAACTGAAAACAAGGTGGCCAATAGATGCAAGAAGATAAAATTAATTATTACCTGTAAGAAAATAAATTTAAAAACAATTAAAATTTCGTCTGAAAATCAAAAGTTTTTGCTAATATAATTGGCAGTGAAGAGGTTAGGAATGTCTCCTTTCTGTTTCCATTTTCTCTAAAACTACGTCGTCGCTCACATGTTCGGTACAGGCTATTCTCAGCATCCTTCTGTAGAACCACATTCTGTTGCTTCAAATCTCTTCTTCATCTAGCATTCACTGCCATATAGGTGGACCCTTATTACTCAACAGTTTAGTATTATTTCCTTTGTCTCTAATGAGCTTTTCCTGTTTCTTAATAATTTACTTGGCGTTTGGAAGACATCTTTCACCATCTTCGGATTTCGGTGTCACATTTTCCGTCCTCTGTTAATATTTAAATCTTTGTAATTGATTGACTTTGGCATTTGAAATTTGTAAAAAGCTCTTCTGTTAGCTGACAAATGATGAGCTCTTCTTTTTGCTGACAAATAATGAGTTCTTCTTTTTGCTGACAAATGATGAGCTCTTCCTTTTGCTGACAAACGATGAGTTCTTATTTTTGCTGTCAAATGATGAGTTCTTCCTTTTGAGGACAAATAATGAGTTCTTCTTTTTGCTGAAAAATGGTGAGCTCTTCTTTTTGATGACAAATTATGAGCTCTTCTTTTTGCTGAAAAATGGTGAGTTCTTCCTTTTGATGACAAATTATGAGCTCTTCTTTTTGCTGAAAAATGGTGAGTTCTTCCTTTTGAGGACAAATTATGAGCTCTTCTTTTTGCTGAAAAATGGTGAGTTCTTCCTTTTGAGGACAAATTATGAGCTCTTCTTTTTGCTGAAAAATGGTGAGTTCTTCCTTTTGATGACAAATTATGAGCACTTCTTTTTACTGAAAAATGGTGAGTTCTTCCTTTTGAGGACAAATTATGAGCTCTTTTTGCTGAAAAATGGTGAGCTCTTCTTTTTGCTGATAAACGATGAGCTCTTCCTTTTGCTGACAAATGATGAGCTCTTGCCTTTGCTAACAAATGATGATCTCTTCTTTTTGATTACAAATGATGAGCTCTTTTTGCTGACAAATGATGAGTTCTTCTTTTTGCTGACAAATGATGAGATCTTCTTTTTGCTGACAACCATATATTCTTTCCTTTTAAAATTAATGCTTAGTCTTCTCGCTTCCTTTTACTGATTTTACAGGTGTTCCTTTATTTTACTTTTTGTGTCTGCTATCAACACTGTGTTATCTGCATACTTTATGTAGTTAAGGCTGTGGCCGCTAATTGCTAGTAGAATAAGGTTGAATATATGTGGTGAGAAGACACAGTCTTCTTTTATTCTCTTTTCATTTTTTGTATATTTACGGAATTCATTTTAGTGCAATGTACTGAAACATGAGAAACTTCTCTGGAACCGTTTTATTTTCGCTATTCTTATTATAAAAAAACACATCTTAGCAACGATGGCTGAAAATAGATATGCATACGATTGGACAGAATGGATTTGAGACAATTAAAGTGATATCATTCTATGAGACGGTGTCATCCTCTAAAAAGACTTCATCGGACTAAAAGCAATGTTCTTATTGATCGAATTATCTACGTATCGTGAGGAGAGGATGGGCCTTTGCTATGCGCTGAGGGAAAGGGAAGAAGATGTGGGAATGCTAAATTAAAAACTTTTGAGTTTTAAAATTTTTATATTTTAATTTTTTAATCTTAGCGTTTAATTTTGTGTGTGTGTTTGTGTGTGTGTTTGTGTGTGTGTGTGTGTGTGTGTGTTCAACGTGTCTACTTTCCTTACGCTTACACTTTTGTTTTTATCGTTCTTGTTGTTAAATATCCCACATGAGAACAGAAGATCTGCCAAGAAAGGTGAAATGTTTTAAGAACCTGGACATTAATTTACAGTGGATGATTTAGCAATCAGTGCACTTACTATATATTTTTACCTTAGTTAATTACTTTCTATTTTGATTGAAGCAGAATTTTTTTTCAATTGAAATTATGGTCAGACTCATTACTGTAAACAACTAATGCAGAGAGTGTGTTGTTTTATCGTGAAAAATCCCTTTTGGGTTAATATAATCTTTTTATTTAAATTCTTCGAAATATCGCCTTTATATTATTTGTGGTAGTTGTTACGGTCTATAGAGAAGATTCCTGCTTTAGGTTTAGGTTATTATTATTTGGTTTTGTATCCATTACAAAGAACATACTTAAACTTGATATGAAATTCCTGACAACTATTTCTTAAACAAGAAAAAAGTAAGTTGTTTTAGAAATAGTCGTAACAAATTTTATGTCAACTTCAAGTAAGTTCTTTTTAATTGTAGTTGATTTTACAAGCACTTGAATAAAGCTTAGAATATGTTACCAATAATTTTATTTTAAAAAACAAAAAACAAAAAAACAAAAAAAAAACACTGCAGGAACCCCGATATTGTTCGACTGTTGATCAGAACTGCGTCTCAAGACACAAGAGTTCGGGTTTCTAACGACCAGTCGGGAAGCAGAAAACTGCCAACCCGGTATCCTCAATATAAAGAGACGTAGCCACTATCCACATATATCACAAAACATAACAACACTACTATTAAGGCCTCAGGAATGGAAAGGAACCGGGGACCCCTTCCTAAATAGGAAATAAGGGGTGAGCCTCTATCCATGTTCAAGAGAAGGAGGATGAGTATGAAACGGGCGATAGGAAGGCCTATCTACTCCTATTAAAAAAGGGCCACACATGTTTTAACTTAGTTAAAGCCGAGATGGCCATTAAAACTTCAACAAAGAATTAAAAATGGCAGGTACCTTCAAAATACTCCTATGTTTGACTTTCAAGTTAAGTTACTTCTGAGAATGTACATTCAGTTAACTTATTTGGAAAGTCGATCATTGGCCCACAGAACTCTTTTTAACCATGCGATGACATTCTAGTTTATTTTGGGACATTTGGGAAAGAGTAGTAATCTATCCCTAGAGTCGAAGAAAAATAGCCAATTGGACTACTCATTAGTAGCAGCGTAACTAAAACAATAAGCAACTTAATTAATTATTATTGTTATTGCTTTAGAAATAGTCGTAACAAATGGCATGTCAAGTTTAATTATAGTTATATTTTACAAGCACTTGAATGTTTTCAATAAAGCTTAGAATAGATAGCAATAAGTTTATTTAAAAATGTCGTTCAAAACGTGTAAGAAAATTAAAAAAAGAAAGAAAGGAAGAAACATAAATACAAAAAAGCACATTTGAGTTTTTTAATGCTATGTCGCTTCAGTACGTAGTGATCATGACTCTCCACGGTTTCTTTGTCGTCATTGCCTGTAAATTGTTACGCATTCTTAGGACAGTGGCTATCTGTTAACTTCTTCATGGTTCTAAAATCGAAGTTAGCCTTCTCTTGATGTTGACAAAGAAGACGTGAAACCCAAGTCTGCTATTAGCTCCTTAGCTGAGGGAGACGAAATGGTCTCACGCGTTTGCCAAAGTCATAGATGCGAAAGTGAACACCACCAACTCGGCCTGACTTTGAACTCGTCTCGCCGATTACATGTTCCTGACTGATAACTGCATCTGCTATCCATTGGTGATCTCAGCGACACCCTAACATAAAAAAGCAAGAAAAAACTCTCACTTCCCGAATACCCGAAATAAATTTCTACAGCTGCGATTTCGGATCTCTCTAGATTCTTGGCAATATTCAAAGAAGAGTTTGTAATGTGATCGATCCTGATCAGCCATCTCGACTTCATTCACTTTCTCACCGACGTGATATGTTTCTCTCTATCTTTTCTATAATATTTTCTTGTATTTTCTTGGCAGCTGTTCCGATAAGCATTTTTTCTTAAGGTCTCGACTGCATAAATTTAATCGTGCTACTAGATTGGCAACTCGCCGTTTTACTGTTGAACTAGTTAGGTGCAACCGTGTGCTCTATTATAATAGTTTCTTTCCTTGCACATCACGTCTGTGGAAATCCCTTCCGAATTCTTGCTTCCCTCCAACTACAATATTTAAAAGTTTAAATGCAATGTCAATCGCCATCTTTTGTCTTCATGAAACCTGTTCTTTTAATGCCCTTTCTCTTCTCCTTCGTTTCTCAATCTCCTTCACTCGCAGTTACCCTTTGTGTCCTACTGGCATTATCGCTTTATTTGGAATGATATGAATAAAAAAAGGACCAGAAATCCCAATCATATTCGCAATTAACTAGAGTTTATCACTATTTCAAAGTTAGTTAATTGTATCCTCCCCGCTGGATAAGTTACAAGCAATTCGTTTAATTCTGTTTCATTCGATCCGTTTACGTAAATTCTATTTCTGCTTTGGTGCGTATTAAAAGGTTAAGAATCGGTGTTGATCAACGCTGATAACTTTCATCGATTGGAAATACGTCTGGCAATGTTTATCGATCTCCTCAGGCTAATTCCATTCAAATAACTAGGAATCATTTAACGAAAATATGCTTGCCTACCCATCATAGCGTTGAATTGTTTCGACAGCGGCATCGCAGTCGAGTTACTTTCCCAAATCAATTATTTTGGGCTGATTGAATCTTAATCAAGTATTGAAGTATCTTTCGAGTCAAGGATGAGGTTGTGTTCAAGATGACTGGCAGTGGAACATAGTGAATGGTTGGGCAAACTTGTTAAAGAAGGATTTGAAATTATTTTCCTAACTTAATATCATTCCAGATAATGACCGAAACGCATGCAATGAAGGATGACTGAATTCTTTTCCCATTAGGTACTCAGATGTGGCACTGTCTGATAAGTTCGTATCTGTTAATATACTCAACAGTGGAAGTCAGGATATACAAATCAATTGATTGATTCGTTTTCTACGGTTTATCAACCCATTGCTGTTTATTTAAAGCCAGAAAATATTTTTATAGTGTAAGAATTCTTTTTCGATAATGCTACGTTTAGTGATACATATTTACTAATTAGCCCATACTTGGTGGGGACTGAGGTGAATTCATACCTTTCCCAAGGGTATTTGTACGCAAGTGAATATAACAAACCTGACTGGAATTGTAATTTGGCTCTCGGATTTCTAATTCCAAATCGTTATCTAATACACTACATGCACATTCAAGCTTACAGCACATATTATTCCCGTCCTTGGTATAACGATAAACTACATCTGGCAGAAAGGTCTCTAATCATATATTTATTACATCAAAGCTCTCAATAAAATTAATTTTCGGCATTAAATGACCCATATGGAGTTGATTTACCACTAAACAAACTTGGTACTGCCACCTCGTTAATAATTCGTTACACAGTGTATAAAGAAAATATCTTTTAAATATAAATATTAACAACAATAATTTTAGTATAAAAATATTAAAAATAAATCATTTTTAATATGAAAATATTAAAACAAAGTGCCGATGAAATATGTAAAAGGTAGACTTTCAGTATCATCCGTTAAAATACTTCTAAAAAGCCTATAGAACATAGGAAAATGTGTTAATGCGAAAATATTTTTAAATCAGTTTTTTTATAAATCTGGGATTAAGAAAAAAAATTAAAAGTTCTTGGCGTATAAAACATTAAGAAAAACATTCAAATAAAATAGCATTTTTACATAAAATTGGCTTCTATAGTGTATAAAACATTAAAAAATATTAATAATTTTAGTGTATGAAACATTAATATAAATCTCTGAAAAAATCATTTATGTAAAACAGTCTTTTCAATATAAAGCAGGTCTTTTTGGAGTATATACCATTGACAAATATTATTTTTAAATAAAAATAACTTTTAAAACAAACTGATAATGTAAAAATATTGAAAATATTTTTAATATAGATAACATTGCATTTTAATTCTTTAAAATGGTTTTAAAATATTCTAGAATATTTTAAAGTTCTTTTTTAATTTTTTTTGGTAATATAACATGATTTTTTACTATAAACAAAGACAAACACACTCGTTTAATATTAAAAAAAAAATGGTAAAATAAAAGCAAGAAAATTACTGCGTCACCACTGATTAGAACTGAGTGATAACCATTGTTTCACTATTGATAATCTTTTGTTTTTATTCTTAATTTTCTTCAGGTTTTCTGATGACAGTAAACCGGAAGCACCATATCGAAATCATGACAGTTAGGAAATCCAAGAAAAAAGCAGATATGAAAATAATCAAACTACAAGCACTTATTAATGAAATTACGGTAAGTCAAATTTACTTATTCGGGGAATTGCCATAAAATGTCACCATCAAAAAAATCGATGACGTCCATAATTCAAGATACAAAATTCGAGTTACATCTTCGCAGGCTTTGTAATTGACTTTCTAATTTTATCGGAATTAGAAGTCAGTCATATAAAACACGCTACAATTTTCAAAATGATGGACAAACTTATTAAACCTCAATATAATTACTTTGATTCTAACACCTATTTTGAAATTTTTGAAATTTTCAATCTGGATTGCTTAATTAATAGTTATACCTGAAAAAAGAATTCTAGATCACAAATTAAAATTATTTTTATTTTTACATTTTCAGAAATCACGTAGTGTGAACATATTTTGTTTTTGGCTTTTGTATTGTGGGCTCAATTTTTAATGAGATAGCATTGTAATCTGAACCATTTTAAACTTATAATTGTTTTATGTTCGTGATCATGAGTTCTCATTCAATAGTAACATAAAAAATATTGAAAACAAAATGATTATTTCTAATCGAAGTGATTATTTCACAATACCACCTACAAATGTATATATATATAGATAAGTGGAACCCCGTTAAAAATTGCAGAAAATCCAACAGATTTAAGTAATATTACCAAAAATTCATTTTTGTGAAAAAGTGTGCTCCAATTGGAATTTCCAGATTCGCATTTATTAACCAATCAGTGAAGTTATGTCAAACGCTCTTAAGGCTTTGAAATTTCAGACGATCATGTTTGTTGTCTGCTATGAAAATTGAGAGATCACTCCAGAAAATGATCAACAATATTTTCCCTCTTAAAAATAGATACTTAAATGTTAGGGAAAATATTTATTAACAAAGATAATTCTGAGTTTAGTAAATCTAACTTTTAGTTCACGCGAGCCTATTTAGATTCTATAAGTATTCGTCACGTAAAGTCAGTTTTCAGGTTTTACTTAAATATTTGATCGGATATTTTGTTCGTGCAAAACTGATTACTCTCACCTTTCGTATAATTAATTGCTCAACGTTTCACAAGTTCTACCGAGTTACTTCTTGCAATAACCTCGTGATTATTATAAGTAAAGCACCACGTAAAACATACGAACGAAGTTATGTCTACAAAAATATTAGTAGTAGTTTTGTATTTTTGTGGGACTTTGTTTCACGAGGATCTTTGTATTTCGTTTCTTTCAACTTGAAATAAAACAAATACTCAATAATAAAATGTATTTAAAATTTGTAGAGCCTGAGTGGAAGGTTATTTCTTTCTTCGACTTTGGCACGCATTTGGTGGCCACTGTCTTAACAATATAATATGTTCTGATGACACGGTGTTGGTAGCAGATATGAAAGGAAACTACAGAAGTTAATAAAGGAAAACAGGAAGAATGAACGAAACCCCAATCGCAAGAATACTTAGTTGATAACAAAAGAAACAGCCCAATATACAAATTACAAATTGGACTTTCAGTAAATGGATGACAGAACAAGGTTTAGGAGAGAAAACAAAGAAGTGAAAAAGGGCTGGAAATTGTGGAGAGCCATGAAGGGCACCGACAAGAAGAAGAAGAAGAAGAAGAAGAAGAAGAAGAAGAAGAATATGACCGACTTTACACACAAAAGATACGTCTACACGCAAAAACAATACCCTGCCCGGTGGCAAAAGCTGCTCGAGGCTTCAGCAGTGGTAGTACAACCTTAGCCATCGAAACTGTATTACGTTCCCTGGTTGGCGGATGATGAGGGCAGAGTAACGCACGAGCTTTCACACGTGGTATAGAGAAATATATCTATACATATATATATATATATATATATATATATATATATATATATATATATATGTGTGTGTGTGTGTGTGTGTGTGTGTGTGTGTGTGTGTGTGTGTAATGATATATTAGGAAAGAACTGTTACATTGATGATCGTAAGTTCTTTAGTATTTTTGTTTTTATTTAAAAAATACAGAAGTAGAGCCTAAATTCTAATTATTATTCAAAAATATGATTCCATCTCGACACAGAAATTACTATGTTTTGTGATTGGTCATCTGTATTCAAGTTTAATTTCAATATTAAACCTTGGATGTCTGTTTCATCCTCAAGCGATATTTGGAATAACTAAGCAACGGAATGTTTTACTCAATTATAGTTTTGAAATGGAGGTGTAATCTGGGGTTAGTTTTTCATTATCAAGGGGTCTCTGCTTTGACGAAAGTATGGGTGTTTGTTATATGTCAAGTTTTTGGAGTTGAGTAAGGTTGGGTTGTTTTTTTTTTTTTGTTGATTTTTTATTACTATCTGCTAAAACTCTGATTGATGTTGTAGTTACGGTATCTTTCGGTCTATATTTATTTGTTTTTGTTTTTTTTTTTTGTTGATGTTTTCTTAAAAGGGCGTTAATATTATAATTGAGTTGTATTTTTAAACCTATTGTTTTAATTGTATTTGTTAAAAGATTATATATTTTTTGTAATTTTTGTATGGTATTGTGGAAATTATTATTATTTTATTATCCATCTATGAAATGCTAACTATTAAGGCGAATATTTGGTAGTGTCTGCAAAAAAAACCGTTATTTCATTTCTTTGATTTAATATTTTTTCGTTTTTTTAGAAACTTGATAATATGTAGTTTTTCATGTAAGCATAAAGGGCATGGTTCATCCCAGGTTATAAAAGTTTTTGTTCTATTTATTATTTTCCAATTTCTTGTTGGTATTTTATTTGTTTCTTTTAAATGCCCAAATTATTTAGATAGAGATGCCTGATTTCTGTTTCTAATATTATTGAAGAAGCTTTTGTGTAAAAGAAAATATATGAAAATATTAATTTATTAAAACAGTAATTTCTGTGTCGCGATGGAATCATATTTTTAAATAATAATAATAATAATAATAATAATAATTATATATATATATATATATATATATATATATATATATATATCCAAACAGAAACTGGAATAGCGAGGCATTTGTTTTGGCTCAAAAGAAATGATGCAAGTGGGCTAGAAATATTAACTTAAATATGATTTTAAAGAATGCTGATAATAATATGAAAGGGACTAAAATAGTTTTGTATTGATACTACTGAGAGTTGAACAATTTTGTAAATAATTAATCTGTGAAGTACGACATTTTTATCAAAGACGGAATAACTCGTGTTAGTTATCAAAATTTATAGAAAACAGTCGGTTCAAAACTAGTTTTTTTTCCTATGTTTTTTTCAAACATTTCACCCCAAATAAGGCAATAAAGCCACTAAGCTGCAAGAGTTTAATGTGTGTTAGATAATATCAGAAAAAATAGTAATAATGAAAGAACAATAATTAAGAAGACATAACGATTGGCATTACATTTAAATATTTAGAAATGAAATTTGACTGGGAAGCAAGAAATCGAAAGGGAGTTCCACACGCGACAGAAGAAGTTGTTAGTATAGACCTAACAATTAAATCTATCCACTGCAACAGTAACATGATAAGACTTTTTTGTCAAACTAATACTGCGCTTAAATTCAAAACGTCTAGTTACCATAGTGGAAAGTTCGTCAGAACAATTACTTTGAATGTATAAAAAGGCCTGAAAATTAAGAATTACTTCTCACTTATCATTAGCTATATATATATATATATATATATATATATATATATATATATATATATATATATATATATATATATAAAAATCAAGAGAGAAAAGACACTAAGATTTTTGCTGTAAAGTAATCTTTCTGTTTTTCTAAAGGAAATCGTCTGCAATTGTTAGAAGGTGCAGCGACATTTTTCGAGGTCCCTCTCTGGTCAAAAATAGAAACGTCACAATTCATATTTCGATTTTCCTAGAGCCTATATATGCCCATATTGATTATCGTATCACAAATAGTCTAAATATAAGTAACAAATTAGACAAAATTTATTAGATAATACCAAAATTTAATGCCTGACTCACTGATAAGTAAAGCTCAAAATATTAGAAGTCATTACAGTTCAAATGAAATAATCCACATTAAATAAAATCTTTCTTCACAGCAGATGTTATTTTGAAGTATACATATTTAATAAGCATGCAAAAACAACTAAACATGTTTAGTATTCGATACATCCTTTCCGTTTAACCGTTAAATATGACGTCACTTTAAAATGAGTCCAGTTCCAGCGATCTAAAAAAACATAGGCTAGAATGTATCAAACAAAATCTTTTCTACTATACTGTCAGTACCCAGTTCTTGATAATAACTCAGACAATCGAATATACTTCAACAAAACGGAAAAAAAGAAAACATAAAGATCATATAACATTTATTCCAAATTTGGAATATCAAAGGAGGGATTAGGGGAAAAGTGGTAGGGTCGCTAGTGTATCCTCCTTTGTAGGACAAACCAACCGACTGATCTGGTGTGCTTTAGACATCAGTTATCCACTCGTCCTCATCTTCTTGAAAACCCATATTGTTCATTTTTCTTATTCAAAATGTAAACAAAGTAATTTCTAAGAAATTAATTAAGTTTTATTCGACATTATTTCTTACTAATCCATTATATATATATATATATATATATATATATAAATATAAATAAATAACTAGACTCGTTTCGAAAAACCCTCGAATTTTTGATTTGTTAATCAAATCAATTTCGAGGGAAAAAAAGGTTTTAAAAAAAGAAAGAGCTACAAACGTAAACTTCTGCCGACAAAAAATCGCAGGTCTGAAGCCCAAAGAAAAAACCCCGATACGAGTAACAACTAACTAATAAAAGAGCTCAATACAACCGTAGAGCAGACCTAGATACACCTAGTGAGCCAGACAAACCTACCTAGGTTTCACCTAAACGAATCGTCAGGTAGGTTTGTCTGGCTCACTAGGTGTATCTATCTATCTATCTATCTATCTATCTATCTATATATATATATATATATATATATATATATATATATATATATATATGTATGTATATATATATATGTATGTATGTATGTATGTATGTATATATATATTAAAGTAATAGGAAAGAACAATGAGAATCAGAGTTCTTAGCATTTAATTTTTATTTTTAAAAACAGTGCTCGATAGATCAGTAGAGCATAATATTATAATTGTTTTTTTAAAAATATATAATCATCGCAATACCCATGTTTCAAAACTGAAACTTCAATTCAAATTCAATCATAAAAATTAAAATTTAAATAAAAAATCCTGTTCCATTATCCAGCGATCCTAAGAATAACTTTTTAGAAATTCTATAAATTTATTATTATTATATATGGATATATTTATTATATATTTATTATTTATTTATTATATATATATATATATATATATATATATATATATATATATATATATATATATATCAGAAGAAAGAATTCACTTATTTTCTGGGGTATGCTAAAGAAGGTGTACTGAATAAAACTCACAAATGCAACACACTTGATTGAACTCATAAAGTGTGGATGTGCAATATGGAGGTATTGCACATGGTTGATTTTGACGTCTTCGGTTCGTAGTGCGTATCCCGGGTTGTTCCTTTTGCTGACAACCATATATGATGCCTTCTTCCAGTGGATAGTTAGTCTTTTCTTCTCACTTTCCTTTACTACCTTCTGCAGGTTTTCCTGTTGTTTCCTTTCTCTGACTACTGTCAATACTGTGTCATTTGAATTCCTATTTTTATTATTATTTGTGGTCAACGGTTACATTAAGATGCAGTTTATGCAGATAGGAGAGGAAGATAACTGTTAACTCTAGACTTGAACAGGTTAAAAGTGTAACGATCAGGGAAACACCTTCTCGGAAGTTGGTTCCACAAAACAGTGGTTCGCAGGAAGAAGCTGTTCCAATGAAATATACTTCGCGCCAATAGAATCGAGTGGGTCTGAAGGTTGTTTGCTACTAAATCAATGGCATGGCGGGTCATAGCCGTGAAAGTTACAACAGATGGAACCAAGGAATGTAGTCCAACCGACCACTTTCCATGGAAGTAGCGATAGATTGCTACTACAACAGTAAAATGGTGAGACCTAACTACCAATCAAGGCCAAAAGCAGGGATAGGAGAAGATTGGACTTCAATTTCTTATCTTAAATTTAGCTCGCTACGATCACTGGCCCAATCATACCACAGTATTCCTTACACCAAAACTTACTACAGCCATCATAATACCTCAGAGTCTCTATATATTCCTAACTCGTTGCCATATGTACAATTTGTCGGGGGGGGGGCGATAAAACATTTATAGAAAAGACAAAGGGAAACGACATCATGGCGGAAGGAATGTGACACAAGGTCATGATCGATTTGTTTTTTATTCATAAAGAATTGTCAAAGTTTTGTTTAAACATTTTTAAGCTTTACATTTTTTTTTAAATTTCTTTTTTACTTTTTTCAGCTGTTAATTTTCTCCTCTTCCCTTTCTAAATAAAAACAATTCCAAATGCAAGGATTATAGACATTTTGCTTGAATAATTGGTCACATGTTCCATGTTTTGCAGAGAGACGTTGAATTATTAGTAGCTTTAAGTAGAAGCCGTGGGGCGCCTGAACATGAAATTACCGCGTGTCTGTGTAAGTATTTGATCTCAGCTTTCCAGCGTCGTCCTTTCTTTTTGTTTAACTTATTGGCTTTTCTCTCTTTCAGCTTTTCAACTTTCCTCTTTCTATAAATCCCTATCGGCTTACGGCCATATCGCGTTGAAACACCGGTTCACGTATGATCACCAAAGTTAAACAACGTCGAACCTGACCGTTACCTTGATGGTTAACTGCTTGGGGATACCAGATGTTGTAAGCTTGGGTGCGCATGTGGTGTAACGGATAACGACTTAGAATTAGGAATTAGAGATCGGAGTTCCAATTCTAATCGGGTTCGTTATATCCACTTACGCAAACATATCCTTGAGAAAGGTTTAAATCCACCACTTTTCCCCCAACTGTGTGTATATTAGTAGAACTACTTGTAAATCGTTATCATTGCCATAAAATTTTTACAATCTAAAATATTTCATGGCTTTACATAATTAGCAAAATGTTTATATATATGTTTCCATATGATCATCGAAGTTAAGCAACATTGAACCTGGTCAGTACCAATTTGGGTGACCGCTGGGGTATACCAGGTGCTGTAAGTTTGATTGTTAGGATGGTATAATGAGCTTACGGTCATAACACGTTGAAACATCGTACGGTCACCAAATCAAGTATATATATATATACGACCTAAATACTCTTAAACAAGATAAAATCTCGAACAAGGACAGTAATAAAAAAGACCTAAAGGTAAACACTACCTACTAAGTGAAGTAAAGTGCTCAACGCCTAGATTACCTAGAAAGAGCAAAAACGCTTGACGACATTAATTCCTATGAATGGATGGCTCGAGTTTCACGCTCACGCAATTTTCAGACAACATGAATGCGTGATGGTGGGTATAACTTAGTTCCCACCTTCAGCTTAGAAAGTCTACAGTACCTAAGTCTGTTCCAAGCAGCACTGACACCCTCAAACTTCCAAAATATTATTATTATTATTATTATTATTTTATTTCCTTTGATTTCTATACACATTTCTTTCCGGATCCCGCCCAGAGACCTAAGGTTAGAAATGTCATCATGACATTTTTCACATAAAAAAGAGCATAATTTACATAGATAAAGCCCTTCGTAAGGTGTGAGCTGTACTCGTGAGAACAATTTTTGTGTTTCTTTAAGGTATGGATTTCCAGGAATCCCTTCAATGAATCTACTGGAATCTTTTCCAACCAATCCGAGGACCCCAACTACAATAAGGATTGTTGATGTTCCCATGTGCCACATTATTATTATTATTATTATTATTATTATTATTATTATATGAGATATGAGACCTACTCTGGCTCTTAAATGTTTCGGCCGGGTAATGATGGTTATATCATCTTTTTTCCACAGCTTAGAGAATGCGCTGAACCCTGCGCACTCTAATTGATGTCAGATATTTCCAAGGCGTCTTGTGAAGGAGAATTTTTACTGAAAATGGTCCCGAGTGTGCCAACTGCAAAAAGAGCATCTTGAACTGATATTTGGTATATTTCTTCGACTTTTCTTGCCAAATATTATCATCATCATTATTATTATTATTTGAAATATGAGATCTACTTCGGCTCTTAGATAATGCCTCTACCTCAGCTCCTACCCATATCTTGCAGACACATCTCTTTCGTTCGCGCATGAACAGTTCCAAGCAACCACCTGCACACTACCAGTGATGCCAAGTATCCCCAAGGCGTCTTACAATGCAGAAAGATTATTGTTATAATTATTATTGCAAGTGGAAACATCAAAGATTTCTCAACTGATTCATTTTTTCTTTATGTTCGAATTTAGTGGTGCAATATATTCGTATATGCGATGATGCATTGAGGCATACACGAAAATATTGCAGCAAAAATTTCAACTTTTTCCCAAAAGCAAGCAGGAATCTTCGGCCCAAATCTATAGCGAAAGACTCCATTAGTTCCCAGCCATTGGAACAAGCCTTCGATAATGTTGATGCAAGTGGCAGCAGCTACGATCGCTAACAATCACGTTACACAGCACACAGATCGATATCAATTAATTGGAACGTCATGATGTTACACTCTTTTTCGCCTGCAGCAGATTGCAAAAACACGTGAATTTTTTTTCTTTTTTTAATTCAGTCATGGTACAATGGTAAGTCAAAAATTAACCGCACCGTCACCATAATATATCTTTAGGTATTTCACACTGCCTTCTGTTCATGCGTGCCTATAGTTGGTACTATTGTAGTCACGCGATCAAAGTTTGAGCTTGATCGCGCCAGTTGTAAACATGGCCGCTCCGTTATCAGTTTGCTCCAAGGAGGAAGAAAGAGCAGTGATCCGATTTCTCTGATCGGAAGGTGTGTCAGAGGCTGAAATATATCGGAGGCTATTAACACAATTCGGTGACAGTAATTTTGTACAAGTGGATCTCAGAAGTTTAACGGTGGCCGGACAAGCGAGACGCACAAAGAACGAGCAGGGCGCCCGTCAACCTCCACCATTGACGAGAAAATTACCATGGTAACGGCGAACCGACGTGTTATCATCGATTGAGTAGCATGTCCTCTACAGACTTGGATCACTGCTCTTTGAACCATTATACGACATCGAAGTGCCCAACTGATGTTGCGACATCATAGATCATAAGCTGATACACAAAGTTAAAGAAAAACATTATTAAAAATGTAAACAAATTTGCCTTCACTCTTCGATACCATCTGTATTAAATCCTTTTATTCTATTTCAGTTTTTCTCAACTGGTGTTCCCTGGAAGCCCAGGGCTCCGCAAGAGCTAGCTAAGTTTTCCGCGAGAAACAATGATAAATAGGCTAATGTATTTTTGAGTAATTTTATATTCGTAATTTTATTATACACATCCGGCATTTGGTTGAAAAATCCTGGATTATTATAATAAAGGTTTCAACCTTTTATATATTTTTTTAAATTATAATACCCATAGTGAATAAATTTGGCAATATCTATATCCCATTAGTGTTTCTTCACTGGTTAGCGGGTAGGACCTTACGTGGTGGATTTATATTATTTAACATTACAATAATCATAGGGAATGTCCTTAGCGATGTCTGTATGGCAATTTTATGCAGGGTTTCCCTGAAATAGGAAAACTTTTTTTAAGGTTTCCACAAGGGTAAAAAGGTTGAGAAACATTGCTGTTTCGACACATTAAAGGAGCTAGTGGAGGACTTAATAACTTTAGGCTTCGTGGCTGGAGAATGAAGCAGACAACCAAAAGAGAGTTGGAGTAAAAATATAATTCTTTTATTAGCAATGAATGAATGGTAGTCATGCTCAAGATCGTAATACATGGTGGGTAATATAAACATCAGTAGGAAAACATCTTAATTTACTAACTGATAGAAAATCCAGCTACTACTCTATAAAACCCATTCACGGAGGCCATATACAGAACTCGATACATAAAGTACCAGATGGCTAGCCGGGATTGCAATAGCTCACGGCTGGGCCCAATGGAAGAGGAAGTTTGTTTCAACGACCCCATGAGACAACACTGAGGAGGCATTCTGGGGAGCGCTTATCGCGTATTGCTCAAACAAAAACGGGAAATATGTCATATTAGTTCACTATCTGCTGTAGGCGGAAACATTGAGAAATAATAATGTTATACTTTTACCATTTTTATTTTCATTGCAGACGGAAAAGGCAGGCGTGGCGTGGCCATGTCAGCCATCTCCTCGTTTGCGTCACTGATGCTCATCTCGACGTTGGGCAAGAGTAACGTGGCGGGAGACACGGATGATGACCTCTACGGCCATGCATTGGAAGAAGCTATGAAAGAAGATCAAGATGACAACGATGACACTGCAAATGGAATCCTCATGGAGGAGGACGAAGAGGACGACGACGACGACGACGATGACGATGAAGAAGAAGATGAAGAGGATGGTGATGACGACGACGATGACGACGACGACGACGACGATGACGACGACGATGACAACGACCTGGAGAGTGGGCGTCGCAGCTCAGGTAGTTCGGCTATGGACGAAAACTTGAACTGCCGGCGAGCAATACGAATGGCGCGTAGCAAAATGGCCGCCGCCGCCGCCGCTGCCGCCGATGTGGCCGGGCAAAGTTGCACCGCCAGCACCTCGTATGCTCGACGCAACACAATCCCCCAGCCAGCTCTGGCGACCACAACCCGTAACAGTATGCTTTACTATATAAACAACGGCTACGCTTTACACGAGCCGGATGACTCGGAGATGGAGAAGAGACCTAGTCTACCCAGTACCAATTCGGTACACAGTCTACCAGGACTACCCACAAGTGATACGTTTTTGGTAAGTTATAATACCGGTTGTATCCCTACAACGAAGCAGTAACTGTTCCGCCAGAATCCATGGTCTGGCAGGTTTTGAATTCAAACATTTTCTTTGGGGATCTGTAACTAGAATTATTCACTTTCAAATTAAGGTTGAAATTTAAACATTTAAAGTTATAAAAATATGTCGTGTTAATAAATATAAAAACCAATACTTCTTTAGAAATAGTTTTTCTTATGTTTCGGATACAAAACTGAACAGTTATGAACTTTTGAAAATCTGAATGTATGAAATGGCTTTAATGGCAAAAAGTAGAACCTCGCTTGGACAGGGTACTTTTCGTAGCCAAGTTGGTTAATGCACATCGGATCTAATGATGGTTTCTCCTACAAATTAGAACGTTGATTCAAATCATGCAAGAGAATGCATTTTTCTTTAATAAGATTTCTTGAACATTCAGGCCAGTAGGCGAAATAAAGTCTTGTTTAAGAAATAAAAGGAATATCTACTCAAATATAGATATTTACTGAAAATAATGTTTAATAAAAATATAACGAATTAATAAATTAAAAAATCCATTACTTCTTTAGAAATTGCTTTGTTTACGTTTCGGTTACGAAACTGGGCAAATATAAACTTTCGAGAACCTCCTACGAGACGGATTGTGCTTAAAGGCTTGATCGGTGACACACTCTGTGGCCAAGTCAGTTAAAAGTCCGTTGGCTTTAACGACGGTTTCTCCTGCAAAGGGGGACACAGGTTCGAATCCTGCATTTTTTTTTCTTTAATGGGATTTCTCCAATATTCAAGCCTGGAGAGGAAAATCAATATACTGTTTAAAATCACTTGTTTCTTGTTTAAGCATGGGTTTCTGTTTCCTTCTAAAGTCTTTTCATTCACTTGTATTCCCAGTCAAAAAAATCTTGACCTCTAGAGAGTAAAATTAGCCGGTATCTTTCCTGTATAGCTCTAAGAACTTCACTCCTTGCTCTTTCTTACATTCATACAACACCACACAGTAGCCTTCTACCTTGAGTGGCGTTTAGGCCTTGTAATAGGTGAATTTAAATAAAAAATAAAAATAAAAAAAAATGGAGCATCTACTCAAATATGGGTATCCACTTAAAAGAAAGTTTACCGTGATAAAAAAAAATACCAACTCTGTAAAACGAATGAACTAAACCGTAAATGTGGTTTGAAACCGAATGAATAATTAAATTCGACAAATTTTCATCTTGAAAAGTAACTATTTTAAGTATGATGGACTCTCCCGTCTTGTAGAAATTATAGTTAGACGGGTGATTCTGTCATACATAAAATAGGGAGTTACTTTTCAATCACCTTTTAGATTATTGTCAAAATTAGATTTATTAATATCTTCATTATTTACTGCCGGATTAATATCCTAATCATCTGATTCAGATTATCCTACGAAAGAAAATGTGACAACGACAGCACTTCTTTTTATTTTTAGGTTGATATTTGTCTTGCATTTTCTGTATAATTATCATTAATACAAATCAAGAATTGAGTTTCTACGTAAAACTTTGGCATCTAATTTAGTTTAAAATAAAATGGATGTAAGGTTGTTCTAATGATTAAGTTGATCGCTACGAGAAATCGAAGAACCAAGTCTTCATCTTCCACTTGTGTTTCATTCCATTCACTTTCATTCAAATACCATTGAAAAAATGTATGAATACATAGTTTATAAAGGCTGTGGTTCAAAAGAAAGAAGAGAATGTGTTCTTCAGCCTTGATTGGCAACCAGTCTAGGAGGACAACTTTGAATTTAAAACCGTATATAAACCAGACGAAATACATAACGAAAGGATCTTGGATCGTAGAGTTGACACTGATTCTTTTTCTTCCTTATGTGCCGTATCCCCTCAGGACGTAGGCGATCATGGCTCTCCACAACCTTCTGTCCTTTGTAGCTTTTAAGATTTTTTTTGTTATTTCGCCTGAACCCTTCTCCGCCTTCCATTTACTCGAGCACACTAAGTATGTTATGCGTTGTTTTCCTCTGTCTGTGTTGCCTTCTATCTGTCCCGTGAGTATCAGATTTTCCAAACCCTCCTTCCTTGTTATGTGTCACATAAACCTCAACAGTCTCTTCCTTATGTTAAGTATAAGTTTTCTTTTTGTTTCCATTTTCTCCAAAATTTCGTCGCTGCTCACATGTTCGGCCCATGGTATTCTCAGTGCCCTTCTGTAGGATCACATTCCTGTTTCTTCAAGTCGCTTCTTCATCTGTGAGGAGATTGCCCAGCATTCAGAACTGATATTATATAACAGTTCAGTAACGTTTTGTTTGTTTCTAATGAAATTTTCCTGTTTCTTAATACTTTGCTTAGCTTTTAGACGGCACCTTTGGTTATCCCAATGTGCCTTCGGATTTCGGTGTCGCACTTTCCGTCCCCTGTTAAAACATTTCGCAGGTATTTAAATTTTTGTATTTGTTTGATTTTGGTATTTCTTATTTTTAATTTGCATTTTGGGCACATCCATTTTTTAATCATTTCACCCTATGCAATGCAGTAAAGCCAAAACACAAGGGGGTGGGGACGAAAGGAGAGAGAACGATAGTAATCAGGAAGACAGTAGATAACGATTGACATTGCATTTAAATTTTTGAAGACTAAAGTTGACTGTAAAGCGAGAAACCAGAAGAGAGTTCCACAAGTGAGAAGTGTGAGAAAAGAAACTGTTAGCATAGAACTTATGATTACATCTAGCCAATTCAACTGTAAATTGATGAGACCTTGTTGCCAGTCTAGGTACAATACCAAAGAGCTCATCCGAGCAATTACCATTAAATATTTATAGGAAAGGCGCAGGGAAGCTACATTATGGTGGTAGGAAAGTGACTGAAGACGAGACACCAATAATATTGCTGATTCTTTGGATTTTATCAAGAATCTCTAAATATATAGCAGGAACACCAGACTATATGTGGCAGCAATATTCTAAGCATGGACGAATGGTAGAATTATCAATATAGAAGATGAATGGAAACTTCCCAAATCCTTATAAAATATTAAAAATGTTAATATTTTTTCTATTCCTAGAATTTTTGACGCTATCATGTGTAGAGGAGTCTAATGAATCCTAATCTAGAGAAATAGTTGAAAAAATTATTTCTAGTTTGTTTATTTATGACACTTAATAGTTCTCATATTGCTGTAATCCAATAATCATGATAAATGAATCGTTAAATAAGTTTTCTTTTTCTTTCTTTCTTTTTTCTTCAGAGCTTTGACGTGGCGACCCAAATGACGTATCTCTGA